TAATGTCATGATAAATTTTTGCAAATACGACAATTATTCAATGACTTTCTTTTCTTTTGAAACAGGAGTTACTCCATAGATTGGTGTTTATCGAATTTTAACTCTTGGATAGATCTTGATTGTCATCTTGGCTTGCTTTGATACTCAATGAAGACAGTTTTATTTTTATTGTTGATATTATTATGTTGGTATGGTAGTTGATAAATGGTTTTGTTATTGTAGAATTGGGGTGTGATAGTGAATCTGATAAATGGTTTGGATCACGATATGTAGGTCTGTTTGTCTTAGAACACCTTCGGAGTGAACAAATATATGCAATGTTAAATTCTAAAAACCATTGTACATTTCACCGTTTGTTTAGCTTACTGTGGTTGAACGATCCACCCTTAAACCAACATCCAGTATATTTGCAAACCTAGTCAAACCCAAAAAAATAATATGCAAACTTGAGGAATGTCATGTGGGGTTTAAAGTTTATTTATTTAATGGTTAGCATTTTATAAAAGGTAGACTATGTAATTAGTGTTTATAGATTGTCTATACTGGTTGATTTTTTTTTTGNTTTCAACTTCGTTCTTGAAATTCCAATTAGAACAATCAAGTCCTCAATATTTTAATTGATTTCAATACCATGACAATGTTTTTCAATTTTTTATTTATGGTATTTCAAATTTAAAATGAAAATTTTATTGTCGAATCGAATCTCCACATGAGGTGCACATCTTGTTGGATTAACCCAAACCAAGTCCATCCTTTTTCAACCTATTTATTGAAATGGTTAATTATGTATGAGCCATATTTTAGGTCATTCGGACATGAGTTTGTTTTAGTTTCAAAATAATGCTAGCCCTACATGTACCTATACTCATGGTATTTTTTATTTTATCTCTTATGGCAAACGTATCAATTTCTTATGCTAAAGACATACTTGCTAATTTCTGTCACACCCACTAAAGGAATAACAGTTGTTATTGTCCCTGTCGTTGGTGCCACCTTTGCTGTCATATATGTCATGCAGCCAACATCGATGGGCTCGACTGTATGAGTGCGGCCCCCCCCCTCCCAAAAAAAAAAAAAAAAAAAACTAAAACTTCCTCGAGTGTTGTACATTAACCAGTCGAGTCTTAAGTTATTTGGTTTAGAGATCTATTATACTTGGTCTGCTTATAATTTGCATAATTGGAGTGACTTTATGTATTGAGGGTAGGATGAATTTATACTTGACATATACCCTTTGCAATTCATTAAACATTTTGGACTTTTTATGACTTTTTGTGTCCCTTCACTTGCACTAAAGTCTTTTAGCTTCCATAACTTTGATTTGTAATGACATATTATTTATCATGTTTTTTATTACCTTAAATTATAGTTGCAATTATACTTCCATCATTTAGAGAAGACAAATAGATGATACTTGAATAAATGTGTCTATTAATTTTCTTATAGAGTAATATATACCATTGACGTATTAAATTGTCATTATTTAAGTCTAATAAGATAAGAGATTGAGGTATGTTTAGATATAGAAATATATGTAAGGATAATATAGAAAATTAAAAATNTGCACTAAAGTCTTTTAGCTTCCATAACTTTGATTTGTAATGACATATTATTTATCATGTTTTTTATTACCTTAAATTATAGTTGCAATTATACTTCCATCATTTAGAGAAGACAAAGAGATGATACTTGAATAAATGTGTCTATTAATTTTCTTATAGAGCAATATATACCATTGACGTATTAAATTGTCATTATTTAAGTCAAATAAGATAAGAGATTGAGGTATGTTTAGATATAGAAATATATGTAAGGATAATATAGAAAATTAAAAATTTTTCATATTAAGATATTTTTATAAGTAGTATAGATATGTAACGCACACACACCATAGAGGGAGATATGAAAAAAACATGTACTCACAAGACATTGTTCACACCGGCTCTAAGTTAAGAAACATGTTGCAACCTTCTTCTTCTCCAGGTAATACAAACCATACAGAGTAAGAGCCTTCATTATAGTGGACGTAACCCTAGTCTTTCAGTTAGGATAAACCACTTACATATTGTCTTTGATCCAACTTCATCATCCATTCCCATCTTGTTAAACGTTATTCTAGACTTGGGTTGAGCACATTCAAGCATCATCAGTTCTCAACCTGNAGTTAAGAAACATGTTGCAACCTTCTTCTTCTCCAGGTAATACAAACCATACAGAGTAAGAGCCTCCATTATAGTGGACGTAACCCTAGTCTTTCAGTTAGGATAAACCACTTACATATTGTCTTTGATCCAACTTCATCATCCATTCCCTCTCTGGTAACTTAAGATTTACACTACCCCATCTTGTTAAACGTTATTCTAGACTTGGGCTGAGCACATTCAAGCATCATCAGTTCTCAACCCGTGAATAACCAGCGTAAACATATACGTTATCCGACCCATCAATTTATAGATAGGTCAAATGAGATGACGTGTTATGAATTTGGGGTATCAAGTTTAGGCATTATCTATATAAAAATCTGTCAATGGGATTTTATAAACTTAACGATGGATGAAACTTGATTAATAATTGACAAAATTTAAATTGGAGATATGTTGATCCAATGTACTATTGTGTTATGATTGTATTTAAATAAAAAAAAGGTAATCATTAACTCCATTACCCTGTTTACCCAAAAAAAATACTTTCTTTTAACTAATTTAAAAATTATTTTGGAGTTAATTATACACACCACCACTAAATTATGTCATTTATGTCAATTAAACTTTTAAATTAGTTTTTATATTAATTTAATCCTCCAATTATACAATGTAATGAGCTCAATATGACCCTGATGTTTAAATTTGTCATTAATTTTAACGAAAAACCTAAAGTATACACCATGGGATTTGGGGTGGCAAACGAGTCGAACGAACGACTTCAAGCCGGAGCCTAACAAGCTAATTTTCAAAATGAGTTTAAAAAAATGTTAAAGCTTAGTTTGTTTTTTAAATATACGAGATTTAATTGAGCTCAAAACGAGTCAAACTTGAACCAAGTCCAAGTAGCTCAACTATTTTATATACAAACGAGCTAAATCTTGTGAGCTTGAGTCCAAAATGAACCGAACTTATAGTACATATTTTTTAAACGAACTTAAAAAATTGTTCGAACTCGACTCATTTTCTAATTGAATGAGCTCAAGTCAAGTTTAAAACAAGTCAAATTTAAACCAAGCCCAAATGGATCAGATTGTTTACCACCTTTACACGTGACACAAGAATTAAGATAGTTAAAATTATACGTGTAATGTGGACGTNTTTTTTTTTTGGTGGGTTTCATTTGTTGAGTTCCAGATCTTGGATAACATAGTTTTGCTATAATTTGTAATTAATGATTTCTTTTATAGATAACTTATTTGAATAATAACTTTGCACAATCCCTAATTACTGTTGCCTCTTTTATATTTTTGGTTTTTTAGTTGTAGAGGTTCAAAGTAAACTGGTTGTTTTTATGAGAAGTTTCGATTGTGAGTTTGTTGTACATTTCAATGGCCTAAGTTTTTTAGGCAGTTGTGTTATAATTAATTTTTGTGTGGTTGTTATATATGTTTATTAATGTTCAAAGAGTTGAGAGTAAGTGTTTTATTAATTTTTTTTAAATATGTTTAGTTGTTATATTTGTTGTGTGTTGTCCCCCCTCCTCTCGTGGCGGTAGTAATAGTAGTTGTGTGTTGATTAGTTTTGACAAAAGCGACTGAATGATGATTAATTATGACTTTTATGTTATTGTGCTAATTGTTTATTATGTTATTTTGTGTAATTTTTGAAATGTAAGAAGGGTGTTCGTATGATAAAATTAAATATCAAGAGATGTGAGTGTAATTTATCTTTCTTTTTAACTACCTTAACTATTAATTTAGAGATAACTATGCACATGACCACTAAATTATGTCATTTGTGTCGATTAAACTCTTAAATTAATTTTTGTATTAATTTAATCATTCAGTTACAATTTAACTAACTTAATATAAACCTTATTTTAAATTTGTCCTTAATTTTAAAGAAAAATCTTATGTATACACCATGTGACTAGGGGTGGTAAATGAGCCGAACGAACGAGGTTGAGCCTAAGTCTCACAAGTTCGTTTTTTAAAATGAGTCTAAAAAATTATTCAAATTCAATTTTTTTTTAAACATACAAGTTTGAATTGAGTCTAAAATAAGTCGAACCCAAGCCAAATTAGAATAACTTGACTATTTTATATAGAAATGAGTAGAATTTTGTGAGTTCAAGTCCAAAATAAGTCTAGTTTTGAATCAAACTCAAAACGAAAGANACTTGACTATTTTATATAGAAATGAGTAGAATTTTGTGAGTTCAAGTCCAAAATAAATCGAGTTTTGAATCAAGCTCAAAACAAAACANTAACTTGACTATTTTATATAGAAATGAGTAGAATTTTGTGAGTTCAAGTCCAAAATAAGTCTAGTTTTGAATCAAACTCAAAACGAAAGAAATTAAAGTTGAGTCCGAATAGATCGGATCGTTTACCAATCTTACACGTGACTCAAGAATTAAGATGGTTGAAATTATACATGTGCTGTGTGCATTTGAGACTGTATCGGTAATAATGTTGTTCTTTTTCTAATAATATTATTACCAATACCGTCTGCTGACTTCCTGGCTGATGGCCAAACAAACAGGGGACTGCCTTCTCCTTCTGGCTGAGAGCCAAGAGGAAGGCAAGGATCGGGTCTGATTTCGGTTTACTACTAACCCGAATACCCGTAATTTAAAACCATGGTCCACTGTTACGATGACCCGGTAAGGAAGTGTAAAATTAGGGTGAAATATGAGAAATTAAATAAATTAAGGTACAAAGTGAAAAAAGTAAAAGTCTTTTAGGTACAAAGTGAGAAAAAAGCACGTAGAATGAAATTTTAAAAACATGAAAAACAAAAACATATTTGAAAAGCAAAAATGGTGGAAAATTAATCGAAATTAAATGATGGCATCGCTGTAATAAAAGAAGTCGTCTTCTCCACTGGCCCCGACGGCTTTTTTCCAAATTTTCTCAGTCCACCTTCTCTCTCTTCCTCCTTCCCTCTTTCTCTCTCTAGGTCAGTCCTCTCTTTTTTCCTTTCTCTTACCCTATTCACATACGTATATACATTTTTTTTGTGTTAATCTACTCGATCTCTCGGAAGATCTTTGACTTGGGATCGATAAAGGGACGGCCAGGATCTAGAGGGTAAAAGGTCCTCTCTGTTGGATCTGAGAGGAGATGGCTCTGTCTGGCATGAGAGGTTTATCGGTATTCATCAGCGATATTCGTAATTGCCCGAACAAAGAACAGGAACGCCTTCGTGTAGATAAAGAGCTCGGAAATATCCGTACACGCTTCAAAAATGAGAAGGTTCTAGCTTTTCTCTCTCATCTGATCCATACTCATATGCTTATATATATATATATATAAACATATAATCAACTGCATCCAATTATCTGAATACCGATGCCGGCTCTCTGTTTATAATAATCGATGCCATGGAACAATTTTGAGCTGCCTTCACATTTTATCTTTAGTTGAAAACTAGTGAAATCTTCAAAAATTTTAAATATGTCTTAATGCCTTCTTAGTTGCAGTATAGTGCAATTTTATATATGTGGCCACTAATAGTCAATTTGGAGGTTGCTAGGTGTATACTTTTTGGGTTCTAATTTTCAATGTGTTCCTTTGTATGGGCATCATGTCTTATATTTTGGAAGAGGCAGTAAGAGTTAATTGTGAATTTGTAGTTTGAAAACCTGAGCACATGTGGTTCCACTGCTAAAAGTACCTTCAATGAGTTTATTGAGTAAATACTTCCAATTGTGTAATTTGTTTCAATGGGAACTTTGATTTGGGTTTTAGGTCAGAAAATGTATGTGGAAATAGAATTTGCTGCACTATGAGGAATGTTATTTGATGTAATTCTGTTGGTTTTGGATTTTAATTGGCATATTATGGCTATCATTATATTTCATCTCACTTTCGTGTTCTGATAAGAAGGCCAAGGGTTAATGTTCATTGATGGGCTTGGCCTAGATGGATCTGATAATGGCTGGCTTAGAGAGCTATCCCATTTAGATTGATGACATACTTATATAACATGTAGAGTTTCTAGCAACTTCAGCATGGGAATAAGTATGCTTGCATTAAGATTTCGGATACTAATAGCAAGTTCAGCATGGGAATAACAACTTCACAACTTCAGCATGTAGCAACTTCTTCATGTCAGGTTATTTTAGATTCATGGATTTAGATTTCCAAGTTGAAACATTTGAAGTCAGTCAAATTGAAGTCTAAGAATGTGATCTGCAATTGTTTGTTCAGCCAAGTTAGCTTAAAATTTAATGCGACTGAATTTCTCCTAAAAGTCATCAAAGAGATTGAAAGCATACAAGACTCTGAAAAAATGAGGTGCAATGGTTGTCTAGATGTAGTATCAACACATCAGAGAATATGTAAAATGACACAGGGTAGGGGCTGCAAAAGTATATGTAAAGTTTGGGGGATTTTTAGAATTAGTGTTTTGAAGTGGGCTATAGTCTGGAAGTGAGGTTATTTCTCTATTTTTTGATGTAGGGGTTCTCCCCTTCGGATTTGTTTACATTGGCGTGGATGGGTTTTGTAGAGTACGTCAGTTTCTTGGGTGAGGGTCTAATATGGGACTCCAAATTTGGCATTCTTTTACAGGATTGAGAGTTGGACTCCATTGATGTTTTTTGTCTCCTTTATGAGTTGAGGATCAAGGTTAGGTTGAAGAAACTAGAATGTTTTTGTTTGCTTTGTATTGATGCTTATAGAGGCAATAAAATGTTTTTTTTGGAAAGCGGAAAAGAAAAAAATTNGTTGGACTCCATTGATGTTTTTTGTCTCCTTTATGAGTTGAGGATCAAGGTTAGGTGGAAGAAACTAGAATGTTTTTGTTTGCTTTGTATTGATGCTTATAGAGGCAATAAAATGTTTTTTTTGGAAAGAGGAAAAGAAAAAAAATAAGGACATGTTTCCCTTGGTGTTTATGGAGGAAAAATATTAGAAGATCCTTTAGGAGGCTGAGCTGCCAACACACCACCTCAATTATATTCTTTTAATGATTTTATTGTTTTGGTGAAGGATATACCTGGATGACAGTAAAAAGATATACCTGGGTGGCATTGATTCTTTCAGAGAGTTTTGGGGTTACTTTTTGAGCATTGGCAGTCCTTTGTGTACTCCATGCATATTGAAGGCTCACCCCTGTTTTTAGTAGTTTTGATGAGAAAGAAGAGAAAGGGCACGCCTTTTGCTCAAGGTTATGAGTTGATGATACAAGGGTGATATGACGGATGTGCCCATCTTGACCATTTGTTCATTTGGTCTGTAGGTTCATGTGGTGCCGACATTGAGGAGGAATGCTCCTATCAAAGATGACAAGGATGAGGATCTTTTGCATTTGCTTATTGTGGGTTTAGAAGTTTTTATAGTGTCAATTTGGTAAATTGAGAGTTTATTGGGACACCTTCACCGATGCACCCATCCCCTTATATGTGCTTCAAAATATTTTGGAAATTGGAAATTGCATTTGGTACAACTTGGTGAAATCTATGAAGTATGCTTACACAGGGCACAATATGAACAAGACATGGCCACACCGGCATAAAATTTTTCAAACAACTATGAAATATTCGACCCCCAATTCTTTTTCGAAATGAAAAATGTAGTTTGTCCCTAAATAGTCCCCACTGTGTCCCAACATGTACAAAAATTGGACATCTTTCACATGCCCAAATGTCTCCCATACATGTCTGGTTCTGTATGTGAACTTGGGAGATGTGGTCATCTTTCCTAGCGTAATATAGCTTGCACAGTGCAATACCCTAACTTAGAGATAGCAGGTGCTTATCCATAAAGAAGTTCCGAAAGTGTAAATGGGAATTAGGAGCCTAAAAACTCATGTTCCTGAATAGTTTGATGACCGTTTACCAACTGCTTTTTTGATGGTAGTTTTATAAAGGAAATCAGTGATTTAGGGCAAATTAAACTACATCATGAGTGGATGGCAGCCTTTGTTAGCCTTTTTGTGGGTTTTAGTTCATTTTGGATTGTAATCTCCAATTACAAAGGGGTAGATCTTGCTAAATCTCTAAGTGGTGTTGAAGTACCATCGTTGTTGCACTTCCATAATTTGTGCTAAAGAAAAAGTAATGGTGTGAGTCTAGGAGAGACTTGTTAGGATAGAATTCTTTTGCTCTAAGTACGCATGGCACACCAACTACGTAGACTACATCAGCACATATAGCAAATTGTAATGGCATATGGAATTTGAAGGGATCACTTCTGCATGAATAGTAAGTGTTTTCATGTAAATTTGAATGCATTTTTGAGTGTCTACTCATTCCATGATCATTAAGGATTGGGGAATCCCGGTGTCTATGGTGATCCTTTTGATAGATGTCCTTTGTCTATATTAAGTGCTTAATGCAGCAGCTTAAACATTGCAGAAAGTTTATACCAGATTAGCTAAGATGCTTTTACAGATTTTATTTTTTATTTTTAAAAAGGAAGCAAATTGTGAGGGGAAAGTACAACTTAAGATAGCATAATGTACACTGTTCACTGAATCCAAGTAATTTTTTTTATCCGTTTCTTGTCTTTTTGTGTGTATGATACTGGAACTATTATAATCTTTAAGGGAAGTGCATCACATTGAGTAAAATAGGTCATTTTCGACAATAGGAAAACTTTTTCAATATGAGAAGCAACTTACTTGAAGATAATTTCCTTTCAAATATGATCATTTTTATCATAAGCAGATGGTCTTTAGTTTTGGTGCATATAACGAGAGTTGAGGTTGTTGGAGTATTACCAACGGACCTTTGGTCCAATGGTATTCCTTGCCTTGTGAAATCTTTACTTCTTGTGAACAAAGGTTCAAGCCTCTCTTCCTCTTTCCATCCCCCTCCCACCACCCCCCCCCCCCAAAAAAAAAAAAAAAAAAGGAGTATCTCTACGGTGTTTCTTTAACTAGGATTGGAATTGCCATCTTAGAGTGTAAAATTTAACATTTGTTTTGTCAATCTCTTTGCACCTTGCTGGGCTTCGCTTCAGAGTAGAGGGTAGAAGGCATTAGTTGCTTTTAATGGTTGGTCCTCCATTTTCGTTAAAGCACTTTGCGCATTGAATACCATAATATAGGCTAGTGGATTGTCTGGTGGTTGTAGCATATCAGTGTTAGATGATCATCAATCATAGCCTGGATGAGCTCATTAACTCCTACATCCTCTAATTCTTGGACCCAACAGTGATCAAGAGATGTGCTTTGACATTGCTGTTTGCCTTTGAGATTGTGGTGGCTTCTACTTTTGGTGCATAGCTGTGATTCAAGTGTCCCTTCTTTCTTTCTGGGGTGAGAATTTGGTCATTTTTGCTTGGAATTAAGTAGATTACTAAATAATAAAACAATAAGTACCTGTGATAAAACAACCTAAAAGTGTACTTTAACTGTTGTGTTAATCCTGCCTATTTGTACTTTTTAGTCAGTTTCATTTCTTGAACTCAAGCTTTTTACAGCACCATTCTTGACTCATTTCACTTTATGTTTCAACCAGTAATTTCTCTGAGATCATTGTGTTTGTGTGTATTAATTGATGTTTATCATTCATTTTTTCCCTTTTTATTTCACCATTTCATAGTTAATTTTTTGGGACCTTAGAAAAAGGATCAAAATATTGTTTCGAAACGGNATCATTCATTTTTTCCCTTTTTATTTCACCATTTCATAGTTAATTTTTTGGGACCTCAGAGAAAGGATCAAAATATTGTTTCGAAACGGTCGAAATATCTGAAACGTTTCCGTTTCTAAGGAGATTGAAAACGAATCAGTGATGGAATCGAAATTTTAATATTTCGAGATATTTCATAATGTTTTGAAATGTTTTGTTATATGTCAATACATTTGCACAATTATTTCGGAATGTTTCAAGATATTTTAGTATATTTCGATCAATGTTTTGAAGAAATAATTCTTAATTTTTTTTTTTATTTTGTTTTTGAAACTGGTCGAAATGTTTCCGTTTCTTAGGTGACCGAAACAATGCACCACAATAAAATTTTGATCCTTGCCTTAGAGTCGTCCATGTATTGTTTTTTGTGCTCTTGTGGATATTTTCTCTTTGTCATACTAAATGGATACAAAAGGGATTTGGATAGTTGGTGGTGGCCTGACCAGTGTTTATGGACTTTTTTCCTTCTTTTGACAGGGTTTGACACCTTATGAAAAGAAGAAGTATGTTTGGAAAATGCTTTACATTTATATGCTTGGTTATGACGTGGATTTTGGTCACATGGAAGCTGTTTCTTTGATATCCGCACCAAAATACCCTGAAAAGCAGGTAGTATATCTGTTTCCACTACTTCTCTGGCAATTTGTTACTATTTGGCATTTTATTCCACAAAAATCAGTTTCTTCACTTCAGTGTGGTTGACATGGGGTGAACTTGAACTGGTTAGCTCATTGAGTGTGAAGTTTACACTGTGTGGATACTACTAACTCCATGTCTTGTTTTGGATTATCTATATGTTAATCCTTCAAAGTGGATCAGTATGCCAAGCAGACATCAATACTTTCCCTTTTTAAGGAAAAAAATTGTTTTGATGATACTTTGAGGGGTGGATCTACTTGCATTGCTCACTTCCATGGACTAGTCACTAATCATAAATAAAAGTTGAGATGCAAATTAAACTTATGTTTTTGCACTTGACATCTTAGACACTTTCTTCTGTGCGCCTTGCTTTATTTGCCCTCCATACATGAGTGTGAGTCTTCAGTTGCTTGCTTCAGAATTTGCAGCACACATTTATGGTGCAATTTTTTTAACTACACTATCATGGCATCACTCACTTTGATCTCATTGTTTGACAGCCCATGATGCATTACCACAAGTCTTATCATTTAAGACTTTGTACGAAAATCTGGTGATGCTGTCAATGTTTGAGAAATTTTTTGGGAACTAAGAGTGAAATTTAGAATGCGAATACATCACTGTAAATAGCCAAAAGCTTGTCCAAGTTGTTCAGATACTTCAATTACTCAATTACTAGTTGAAGTTCATCAAATCATAAAAGTCAGTGACCTGAAAACTTAGACTGACATTCTCTTTCATTAAGTTGGAATTTGCCAGTTGAAAGCTTTTTGAACTGCAGATTTCAAAGACTTCACTATTTGCCTGATTTGAAGTTTTATTCCTCACTCGTGGAATTTGAAATCAGACCTACTGCAAGCACTTCCCTGTTTCCATGTGATTTCCGATTCCCATAGTGTCAATCTAATATCTTATTATTTTCTGTGCTCATGCAAATCTGGATTTGTGTTTTCCTTGTCTGAGCGGTGGGCATCTGTGCTTGTCCATTTTGTAAGGAAATAATTTATGCGTTGAAGGTGTTTTCTCACTGTGGAGATCTGTTGAGATAATTGATTCATATTAGATTCTTTAAATTGTTAGAAGGAGAGGAATTATAAAAATTTTGGAATCTCTCATTCGTGTTTTCTCACTGTGATTTCATTTTTTCTTAGGCTAGACTTCCGTCTAAATCTCCTTGATATGTCATTTCATTTTCCTTTCTTAATACATAATTACATGAATTGTCCAAATTACTTATCGATATATCAAAAGCAAAAGACAACGAATTCAAAATATGGCCTGAAGCTATCTAAAGTAGAATTTTGAAGTTCTGTTACTTGACCTTAAACATTTGAGCTATCTGTGGAAGAAAGAATGTTTCTGGACACGATCAAATGCATTATACTGATTCGCTTTCAATTTGTCTACTGTTTCCTTATATTTTATAAAGCTTCATGCTTTTGCAATCAGCTTCTTATAACCAACATAAATTGTAACCTTAGATTTATAATTTGCTATGAAGTTAGCTTCAAATCATGGATCAAAATTTATTTTGAAACGTCTAAAACGTTTCTGTTTTCTAGGATACTGACACAAATCAGCAAGAGAATCTAAATTAATATTTAATATTTAACAAATTAGTGATGGAATCTAAACATCTCGAAATATACCAATATTAATATTTTGGAAATAAATAAACTTTTTTTTTTTCCATTTCATTTTATGAAACATTTCTGAAATGTTTTTGTTTAGCAACCAAAACAATGCTCCAAAACAAAATTTTGATCCTTGCTTCAAATGCTAAGATTGTTCAAGTTTAAAGAAATGTAGAATTACTTGTGTTTTTGCATGGATGGCTTACTGAGACAGTGAGTTTAGTATAAATTCAAGTACAAAACCTGGTCTAGTGCCTTTACAAATTGTGGAGCTGCATCTTTCCTAAACCTTGTGTCTGTCAAAAGGAAGTACTCATTTTGTGTTCATGTGTCATTGGAACTTTTTATCCAAGACGGGTTGCCAAGACTACAGAGGGTTAGTTAAGTAGATAGAATGAAAGATTGTTTGTTGTTTAAAGCTTAAAAGAATTGCTTTGGGAACTTGGTTTTTGCAAATACTTGCCTTAAAATGTTTTTGGAGACTTTTGAGAAGCAACTTTTTTTAGTTATTTTAATCGCTCAGCTCCCATCAGTAATGTGTGCTGTGTATGCCTGCTCTTTTAAACGGGTGTTAATAGCTGGTAAACAGAATCACGGGTGTTTGGAAAACTCTCATACTTTCATTATNTTTAATCGCTCAGCTCCCATCAGTAATGTGTGCTGTGTATGCCTGCTCTTTTAAACTGGTGTTAATAGCTGGTAAACAGAATCACGGGTGTTTGGAAAACTCTCATACTTTCATTGTGGCTCTGGAATGTCATTTATCTGTATTTGGTTCTTTAAGGATATGTGCCTAGTTCTTGTGTACTCAAATTATTTTCTTATCCTGTGTCCGGGAATAAGCATATGAATGCAATTGGTTATGTAAGTTCTTTTCTTTTTTCTTTTATTTTTGGTTGTATAACTTCCTTTTTTCTTTAATCAGCAACAACGAAATTCTATTAAAAATATTTGAAGTCAGTATGCAAAGGATGAGAGGTCCTTCAAATGAAAAACTTGTTAATTAACTTCTCTATCATTCTATGAATGAATGCAGGTTGGATACATAGTGACATCGTGTTTGCTCAATGAGAATCACGACTTTTTGAGATTAGCAATTAATGCGGTCCGCAATGATATCATTGGTCGGAATGAAACATTTCAGTGCCTGGCGTTGACCTTGGTATAGTTACATGCATGTTTTAATTATCAGATTTTGTTTCTTGTGCAAATATTTGTGATTCATATGTCGGTTACACTACAATCTTTTTGTCAAAACATGTCCTGCTATAACATATGCATTCTATTGTTGTTGGTTGTATCCAACCTCACATACTTCCCAATCCTTATATCTGTGCAGGTAGGGAACATTGGTGGGAGGGATTTTGCTGAATCACTAGCACTCGATGTTCAAAAGTTGCTTGTAAGAGGACACTTTTTTTGCATATTTCAATTGGTATGAGTCTCATGTGAATGATGGTTGGATTCCGTGTGTTTCAGATTTCCAGTAGTTGCAGACCGCTTGTGAGAAAGAAGGCCGCATTGTGTCTCCTCCGCCTCTTTAGGAAAAATCCAGNTTGCTGAATCACTAGCACTCGATGTTCAAAAGTTGCTTGTAAGAGGACACTTTTTTGCATATTTCAATTGGTATGAGTCTCATGTGAATGATGGTTGGATTCCTTGTGTTTCAGATTTCCAGTAGTTGCAGACCGCTTGTGAGAAAGAAGGCCGCATTGTGTCTCCTCCGCCTCTTTAGGAAAAATCCAGATGTCGTCAATGTAGATGGCTGGTAAGTGGGAAGTACATTCTGTGGCAGTTTTCTGGACAATTTGAACTTGACGTTTATGACTAAGTCGTCTTTGCCTCATTGCAGGTCAGATCGGATGGCACAGCTATTAGATGAACGTGATTTGGGTGTTTTGACATCTTCGATGAGCCTTCTTGTTGCTTTAGTGTCCAATGACCATGATTCATACTGGAGTTGTCTTCCAAAGTGTGTCAAAATATTGGAAAGGCTTGCTAGAAACCAAGATGTTCCTCAAGAGTACACTTACTATGGTATCCCATCTCCCTGGCTTCAGGTTTGTGTGCTCTTATACTGGATTTTTTCCTTTACACAAAATGGGCCAATTGAACTTTTGCAGAATGTAGCTCTGAAACATGGAGTAAATAATTCTGTGAGGATTAGAGTACCTGGATTTATTGTAGTCTTGAACTTGGATACTGAATATGGTGACATCCTGAATTGGTGTTTTGTAATAGAAAAACCCCTCAATTATTGACACATACATTCCATGACATTTCAGTAATCACACCTTAACCTCCCGAGGTTTGTACATTGTTGCAGAAACCCTTCCTGAGATTGCTCACACACCACCGAACTCACTTTTTGTGCTCTGAAAAAGAGATCTCATTTATTGGGCTATAATTACAAAGGGTCTGGATGGGGGATTGTTGTTGTTATTATTATTTTTATTGTTGTGATAAATATCTAGAAAAATGCAGTTGCTATAGTATCCTCCTCTTTTGGGATTTTACTTTGTCTGTTGATAATGAGTCAGTATAAATAATGCAAAATAGAATGCATGAATTTCACTTGTTTATATTAGCAAGTAGTCGCCAGATGAAAGTGCCTGTCTTTTAGGGGTTGATTGATGTATTAAACCTACATGCAATTCTTACTAGTGTACTGTCACTGCAGGTTAAGACAATGAGGGCTCTTCAGTATTTTCCCACTATTGAAGATCCAAACACTAGAAGATCATTGTTTGAGGTTTGATTCTTTATTTTTTCCAGGAAATTATGATACTTGTCAGTAGATTTCATAATTCTAATGAACCTTGCTTTGTTTATCTAGGTTTTACAACGGATACTAATGGGAACTGATGTTGTGAAAAATGTGAACAAGAACAATGCATCACATGCTGTTCTCTTTGAAGCCCTTGCTCTTGTAAGTCTAAACACTAGTTAAGTTGCTTAGTATGTTAAAGAATTGAGCTTAAAAGTGGTTGCCAGCTTGTATGAATTTGAAAAGCTTTCATATCCTTTATGACAGAAATGCAATCAACACCAGTAATTTAGTTGTGCATATAAGATTGGTGTGTGTGTTTTGCATACTATAGTAAAAGTTGGACAATCAAGCAAACAAAGAAGTAACTCGCATTGAAGTTGGAATTGCGTTAGGGAAACAGTCTCTAAAATGTTGGCACCGTTCTTCCCATCTCCTGATCCTCGAATGGATATTTGTTTGCTTCCAATCTGCCTCACCAAATCTTTGCTAGAATTACGGACATACGATCTTTGACTACTTCAGAAATCTGTTTCCCATGGCAACCAATATGTGCCTGGTCTTGCCTTCATCTTCTTTGATCGTGGCAACCAATATGTGCCTAGTCTTGTATCCATTTTCATAAGGCAAAGTGCCTAATTTTGCAGGTTGTACATCATTATGGGACTGGGGAGATACCCTTTTGTACTCTATTGTGAATTTTTTGCCTCTCAAAAACTCTTAAGGCCTACATAAACTTTGTCGTGCCAACATGTACGATGCAATGTTTGTTAATGATTAAAACATGTATCAATTGATTATCACTTATCAAATATTGAAACTTTGGAGTGTAAATAATTATTTGGTGATTTTTGTAACTCGTATCTTAACTGAATGTGTAATCAAGTGTCATATTGTCATATGTTTTCATATAGATTAGTTGTATACCAAAGTGGTAGAATAGTTGATTCTTTGAGCTAAACATCTTAGTTTTAGGTGTGATCATAGGGATTCTATCTCATTGACATGGGATTAGTTGGACACCTCATCATCAAGGGATTCCTACTCGGCCAATCCTGCAGCCTAACTAGTCTTCTGTTTACGTCAATACTTTTCCAGTCATACATCAATCATACCAGTTCCAAAAATGGCACGATGCAATAGTTTGTTGAGATCTCTCTCTCTCTCTCTCTCACACACNCCTACTCGGCCAATCCTGCAGCCTAACTAGTCTTCTGTTTACGTCAATACTTTTCCTGTCATACATCAATCATACCAGTTCCAAAAATGGCACGATGCAATAGTTTGTTGAGATCTCTCTCTCTCTCTCTCTCTCTCACACACACACACACATCCACATTGTGTTTTTGCCATTAAATGTCTTCATATGTTTAAGCGTGGCTTTAAGAATATCTTTTCGCCCCTATTCAGGTTTTTGGGTGGCTTTTATGGTTGTGGGTTCTAACTGTATTATGACAGGTCATGCATCTAGATGCTGAAAAGGAAATGATGTCTCAGTGTGTTGCCTTGCTTGGGAAATTTATTGCTGTGCGTGAGCCAAACATTCGGTATCTTGGTTTGGTAAGTTGCCGGAGCACGAAAATTCAATCTGATATTTATATGCATTCTTTTTTTCTCTTTCAAATTTTTTTTCCTCTCTTTGCTGCTTCTCTGTTCATGTTTTCTTTACTTCATATCTTTGTGACTCTTAAGTCTTAACTATTTGATGCAGCCTATGAGCCTGCCAAACTGGAGCATCTTTTGTTAGACTAGTAAGTTTCAGTATGGCTGCTACTATCTGATCGCATGATCTGTGTATGTGTCTAATGCAGGAGAATATGAGTAGGATGTTGATGGTTACAGATGTTCTGGACATTATCAAAAGACATCAAGCCCAAATCATCACCTCATTAAAGGATCCTGACATCAGGTATAGCTCAATTGTTCTGTGATTTTCCAGACATGTTCTCTCATTCTGTCATTTCCATTGCTAGACACCATAATTGGCTGCATGTTTGGCAACAGCTGGATTAAACTGGCATTTATTACTGCCGGGGACATTAATCATTCATTCACAGTATATCAGTAGGCTATAGTAACTACTTTTTTTGTGATAACATTGTTGTGGACCTGTGGTTGCATTGAATAACGCTGGCATGTTTGTTGTAAGTATGTATAATTTATGAAGTTTTGTACTTTAACCTGAAGATAACAAGTTGCGTTCTCTTTTTGATGTTCGACAGTATTCGGAGACGTGCCCTTGATCTGCTATATGGCATGTGCGATGTTTCTAATGCAAAGGACATTGTTGAAGAATTATTGCAGGTGGCAAATTACTGGACTGGACACATAGCGTTGTGTTTGTTTATATCCAGTAGACAGTTTCTTGAAATTATCCGTATTTGAATCCTCTAAATGAATTTAAAGTAAGCATGCCACTGACACTCATCTGTTTTCAGTATCTCAGCACAGCTGACTTTGCAATGCGTGAAGAATTGGCATTAAAAGCTGCCATTCTTGCAGAGAAATTTGCCCCTGATCTGTCATGGTATGGGTTTTCAATACGAGGCAGAATGTAATTTGCTATTAGATGAATTGTAGAACATGATACTGTTGAATATAAGTTGTTCAGTTAAAAAAAAGCATTATAGAACAAAATGTATCTGAGCTGGTATATGATAATGATCAAATCTCCATGATGAATGGCGACAATATCAGTCACTATAGTTAGTGACAGTACAGCAACTGAAAGAATGTAAGGCAATTATTTGATTATGTTTTGCCTTAAGGGGAGCTGCTGATTTTTAGTTGCTTAGCTTTCATACCACTCCATAGACATCCGAGGACAGAGGACCTAAGGACAAGAAGTTTGTGTTGTTTAGGTATTCATATTCTTCTTTCTTTTGTCCCCATTGCTCCTACTTCTTGACATGTGATAATTATGTTGGGATCCTATTACTTTTCTGCCGTTAACGAAGCAGTTCTAGTGATGAGTAATATGTCCCAGAATTTTATTTTGTAACTTTATTAGTTTCATCAGTGACAAAAAATTAAGATCCCAACTTTTCAGGTAATTTTGTGATTGCATAGTGGATTGGAAATCCCATCTAATGTTAAATATACTACATGGTCGGTAGACTAGGTACCAGTGCCCATATATGAATTAAAAATATGAAACCNGTAATTTTGTGATTGCATAGTGGATTGGAAATCCCATCTAATGTTAAATATACTACTTGGTCGGTAGACTAGGTACCAGTGCCCATATATGAATTAAAAATATGAAATCCTGGTCTCCACCTATCCATAGAAGAATTGTTAGCTGTATGTTTCAAAACAAATTCTTGCACTTGCCTCAACTGATGCAATTTGAATTCAGAAATTACCTGCCACTCCAGAAAATGTCTTGATCGATGCAAACTAACAGAAAAATGGAAATGTGCACAACTTATTTCAGTTTCGTGGACGAGGAACCTGATTTAATGACTAACATGTTCTAAAAAATGCTCATAAATATTTCAGTTAGATTGATCTGAGTTTAGGTTGTTTGAGGTCAGGTTGTATAGGGTTTTCCAGAGGATATGATTGTTAGCAATTATGTGGAGAGGGCCATTTGATGCACTTTTGCAGTTCAGCATCCTCGTTCAGTGTTTCGCGGTAGCCCTTTTTGGTGTTATAACCACCTCCGATGTTTTATCTGTTGGAGCATGGAGGCAAGAAAGAGATGCCAACTTTTTTGTTTGACAAACCAAAATATGACAATGTATTGGCAATAGAGTTGGATTATGTGCAAAATTAATGCATTTTAGAATTTTTGCTTGTCCTTTTGTTTAGAGCTGGAGAAACAGAAACTTCAAATTCCATATTATTAGATGATATGGACTGTTTTCCCTCTATCATTATGCAGGTATGTGGATGTGATCCTTCAATTGATTGACAAGGCAGGAGATTTTGTCAGTGATGACATATGGTTTCGTGTTGTGCAGTTTGTCACAAATAACGAGGATCTACAGGTGACTGAAGCCTTTGTTATATCTTTTTCATATTACTGTAGTCTTATCTTTCCNGCAGGAGATTTTGTCAGTGATGACATATGGTTTCGTGTTGTGCAGTTTGTCACAAACAACGAGGATCTACAGGTGACTGAAGCCTTTGTTATATCTTTGTCATATTACTGTAGTCTTATCTTTACAGGAAGTTTATTAAATATGATCTGCCTTAATTCTTGCACCTTTTATTAGCCTTATGCAGCAGTGAAAGCCAGGGAATATCTAGACAAGCCTGCTATACATGAGACAGTGGTCAAGGTTTGTATATTCTACCGTGATTCATTTATTGTTGTTGGTTGTTTTGATGCTGATAGTTGTGAATGGCAATAAATGTGTTTGACTGCTGAATTTTTTGATGCACTCTACTGAGTTGACAGATGAGCCACCTTAAATTCGTTTCAGTTTTTTCATTTTCACTTTTCTAATGGATAGCACTGTTTCTTTCNTGATAGTTGTGAATGGCAATAAATGTGTTTGACTGCTGAATTTTTTGATGCACTCTACTGAGTTGACAGAGGAGCCACCTTAAATTCGTTTCAGTTTTTTCATTTTCACTTTTCTAATGGATAGCACTGTTTCTTTCACATTACATGTAATTGACATAAAAACTTGGATATTTGCTTGGCAGTTCTTGCTATAGAATTCTTGATCATTTCATGTCATCATTGTATTAGTGATGATCATCTGCTTAACTTTTTATTCTGCCCAATCCAAATGTAATCTTTAAATCTAGTTTGAAGTTAATATGATGGAATAGGTCAGTGCCTATATTCTTGGAGAATACAGCCATCTTCTGGCCAGACGGCCTGGTTGCAGTCCAAAGGAGATTTTTAGCATCATACATGAGAAGCTTCCTACTGTTTCGTAAGGGCCTCTTTCTCTTCTCTTATCAATATGTGCTCTTTATCATTTGTCTTGACTAATGCACATAATATATCTTCAGGACTTCGACGATTGCTATTCTACTTTCAACATATGCGAAGATTTTGATGCATACTCAACCCCCAGACTTGGAACTACAGAATCAAATTTGGGCAATATTCAGCAAGTGGGATAAATCTATACCTAATTTTTCACTTGTAAATATTTTGGAGTTGTAGTTTAAGCTTTATCTCCATATATATTGAATTGCTGAGAACAATTTCATATGTTTTCAGATATGAGGGTTGCATTGATGTTGAGATACAACAACGGGCTGTTGAATACTTTGCATTGAGTAGGAAAGGCGCAGCTTTATCAGATATATTAGCTGAAATGCCCAAGTTCCCTGAACGGCAGGTAGTGTATGGGATTTGCAATCTTTGTTTGTAATCGCTTACTCTCTTACTTATTTTGTCAGTTCACTAACACATTTGATGAGAGTGCCACAAAGCTATTGTTCAGTGTGGTGCGCATCCTAAAAGAGTAGTTTATATGTGTATGAGTTGTTGACTCTAATTGTAATTCATCTTTGGATCTAGTCTGCATTAATCAAAAAAGCTGAAGATACTGAAGCCGATGCTGCGGAGCAAAGTGCTATCAAGTTACGGGCGCAGCAGCAGACTTCTAATGCTTTGGTTGTGACTGACCAACGTCCGGCTAATGGAACTCCTCCTGTGACCCAACTTAGTCTTGTTAAGATGCCTAGCATGAGCAATGTGGTGAGATGCATTTCTGCTTAATTCAGATTCTGTAGTTTAGAGTTTCAATTAGTTTTCAATCTACAATTTAGTATTTGGACAGGATCATAACCCTGCAGAGCAAGGGGTGTCTCAGGCCAATGGGACTCTAAGTGTTGTGGATCCTCAACCATCTAGACCTTCAGATGATAATATTGGCGATCTTTTAGTTCCACTGGCTATTGAAGGCCCTCCTGGTTCTGCTACGCTATCTGGGCATAGTCCCGTCTTTGGATTTGGAGGTGCTCCAAATGCGGAGGATGCTTTAGCCATTGCACCTGTCGAAGAGCAGACAAACACTGTCCAGGTACTTCTTTCTTTTGGATTAGTCATTAGTGTGTGCTATATACTCTGGTCTAGTTATTGGTCCTAAAATTTATTGTTTTACCTTGATTGTTTATGATTTCGTTGACTCCTTTGGTGGATTGGGATTGCCAAGACTCTGCTGCCAAAGTAGAATTTATGACTTCAATATTTTATCTTTTTTCTAATCACATGGGAATTGCAATCTCAATGAACTGATTTTGCGTTGAAATCATATGGTGTTCGGCTTCCAAGTAAAACTCCAAAGTTTTTTAAGAGGGACCTAATAATATACTGTTTATTCTTACTGCATTAGCATTTGCTAAGTCCATAACCTTGAAAATGCTAGATAAAATGTCTCAATGCTGCAAATAAGCTAGGACCTGCCTTTTCACCGAAATGGCATTGGTTATTGTGCATCCACTCTTGATGTCAGCATGAGACAGCAGTTGAAATTTGGAACGTTGTTGCCACTTTCTCTATTACCTCCATAACCTTGCCTGTTTCCGTTACACAATTTAGACAACCATTTTCAACTAGACCATTTAATAGAAAATTGGAAAATTGGAGGACAAAAGTGACACTATTAGAAGAATGGGGACCACAGTGAGATTGAGCTTATAATTTGATAATACATATTAAATATGAGTGGTAGCAGTTTTTACTGGTACCAAGAGACTAGGTTAACATCTTGTCATAGCTCATGAATCCTACTTTTTTTTTGGCCTGAGGTGTGGCACCCAATTTCATTTACCCAAACCCAGCATGTTCTTTTGTAATCCTTCTACCTGTATTTTTCCGTGTTAGCTTTCAAATAACATTGGCTAACATATAGTTTTAGGCCCGATCAACCTGACAGCTACTGGCCACCCTTGGTTTTGACACTAAGGATGCCCTAGTGTTGAAACTACAATCTAAACAGCATTTACATTGCCACTTATGGATGAACCGAGACAGTGATGTGATTAGTCAGGCCTAAATATTTCATGTGTTGGAAGAGAAATATCACCNCACTAAGGATGCCCTAGTGTTGAAACTACAATCTAAACAGCATTTACATTGCCACTCATGGATGAATCGAGACAGTGATGTGATTAGTCAGGCCTAAATATTTCATGTGTTGGAAGAGAAATATCATCTCATTTTATTCATGACTAAATGTTTCTAGCGATTCAAATAGTAAGAATGGCGTACAGACCAAGTCTTAGAGGGAGAGGATTTCACAGCTTTCCAATTATTTAGATAGGGCTAGACTCTAGTCTGGTATCCTACACCAAGCTTCCATTCTGTTAATCAGGTTGGATATGTTGATCTCTTGATTTTTTTGATTTATTATAATGGAAAAGCAAGCTGGATACTACAGTGAGCCCCCAGGCTATTGTTTACTTGGTCAATGTGGAATTGTTTTACCATCGGCAATATTGTCTTTTATGTTGTGTGTGTGGGTGTTTCCTATTTTTTTCCAGCATGTAATAAAGCAATATATTGCTAGGTTGCCATATATCTGCCTTTATCAACATTTTGGAAAGGTGTTCGATGGCACTGCTTTTACATTTTGAAAAATAATAACCTGGTTTTTATGTGCGTTGATTCATTGATTTGTTCTTGATTCTCTGATTGCATCATCTATTCTTGTAGCCAATAGGAAATATTGCAGAAAGATTTCATGCTTTATGCCTGAAGGATAGTGGGGTGTTGTATGAGGATCCTTATATTCAGGTGACTTATCCTTTCATAGTTCTTCCGATGACTTGTTTTGCATTGGCACTTGCTGTTCATTCTTGTTATTTTACCATAAGGAACCTGCTTTGGTGATACAACTTGATGAAGATTTAACATCCAGTCCTTTATTGATTTTTTAATAATACATTCCAGATTGGCATTAAGGCTGAGTGGCGGGTGCATCAGGGACGACTTGTCCTCTTCTTGGGTAACAAGAATACTGCCCCACTTGTTTCAGTTCAAGCATTGATATTGCCGCCATCTCATTTGAAGATGGAGCTCTCATTGGTACCCGAAACTATTCCTCCACGGGCACAGGTCAGGATACTGGTGTTACCCATTTGTGATTTCTGGTGGTTTAATCTGTTAGCCTCTCTCATCATTGAAAACTTTTTTTTTTTCCTTTTTTTGTCATCTTTTTTTAATTTTTATGGCCGTTTAGGTGCAATGCCCACTTGAAGTGGTCAACCTCCGCCCAAGTAGGGATGTTGCTGTTCTCGACTTCTCCTACAAGTTTGGAACCAACGTGGTATCACCTATAAATGAAGTTTCACTGTTTTGTATGGCCAAGCTACACGGATCAATATTCATATGTGTATGTGTCTTATTCTGCAGGTTAATGTTAAACTTCGCCTACCTGCTATTTTAAATAAATTTTTCCAGCCCATAACAGTGTCTGCCGAAGAATTTTTCCCCCAATGGAGATCACTTTCTGGACCCCCCTTGAAACTTCAAGAAGTGGTAATAAATTCTACCTCATGTTTAGCCTAAGAACTTATGTAAGTGGAATACTACTGGGCCTTTTTTTGGACTTCGTTGGTTGCTTTAAATATTATCGAAGATAATGATTATGAGTAAGAGTGACATTTTCATTGACATCTTGTATGTTAATTCAATTCCTATCGAGAGTAGCAAAGTGCAGTTTAAAAATGGATTTTTATCCTATTTTTAAATATCAATCTTTGAGATATTGTCATCCCATGTGATTGTAAGAGTATAAGATTTTGGGCTACAAAGCTGACACTTGGAGCATCTCCAGTCTTTACCCTATTATGTACCCAAATTTAAATTTGGGTAAAAATGATTTAAAATGTTTCTCCAATGCTAGACCCATACCCATACCATATAAAAGGAAATTCTTTTTTAAACCCAAATCTTTAATGGTGAGATTACACCCTCCTTTAAAGATTCAATAGCCATATTTTACCATTTTTTTAAATTTGGGCTTGTCCTCATTTAAATTTAGGTTTCTCTTTTTTTAAATTTGAATTTCTCCATCGGAGAAGTCTATATACCAAATCAAGCCATTTACCCTTTTTTTTAACTCAAATTTAGATAAGAGTTTGGATTTTCGTTGGAGATGGTCTTAATGCAATCAACCACCAAGCTTTGTTGTTTTATGTTTTTCCAGTAAATAATGCATGGAAAAATTGTTCCAGAAAAATTTAATATAGGTATCAAAGCATGATAAACATTTGAGGAGATATGATATTTTTCCAAGCTTTTGAACAAAATTTTCTATCAATATGCTCAGAGCAAAAAGTAAAAAAATCATTAAGAAAACTTTTCCAATTATTCTTAACCTAAGGCTCCATTCAGAGCTCCATTAAAGGAAACTATAATTAGTATAAAAAATATCACTTCTCTCACCTATGTACGGTTTACAAGAAAGTTTGCAGGAAGTAAACCTTAAGCTTTCAAAACTTTATACAAAATACGGGACAAAATTTGGAGCGTAATGTTGTGCAGGATGGTAGTTATAATAGGACACAGACTTCATATGACCACCAAATATTCACAGGTGGGAAGGGGAACAATTATATTTTGTCCTTTTCCTTGACATTAATCAAACAGCATTGGTAAACAGAGTAAGCAAATATATATTTGATGGTATTGCAAATGGTATGAGTGTGCCATAACATCTAAAAGGACTTGGCTTAAGGATTGAATTCCTTCCATTGGCTCAGATAATAATTATGGAGGGAGGGGGAGAGAGAGAGGGTCAGTATATTCTGGTCAGTTGGTGGTCAATCTTAAATGTCATTTAACAAGTGCACCAATGCAAAATATGCAATTGCATAATATTGAAAAATATACATGACTATATTTTTCTATGAACTTGAGCAGGTTAGAGGTGTGAGATCAATGTCTCTCGTGGAGATGGCAAACTTATTTAACAGTTTCAGGTTGATGGTTTGTCCGGGACTTGTAAGCTTCCAACTCTTTCAGTTTGGGCTCCGTCCATTCTTACTGAATTTCCATCTGTGCCTTCCTCCTTAATGCATATAAAATGGCATACTGTTTCGTTTTCTTTTTCAGGATCCAAACACAAATAATTTGATTGCAAGCACTACATTCTATTCAGAGAGTACACGAGCCATGTTGTGTTTGGTAAGGATTGTATTCCACTGCAAGTTATTTGAATTGTGGTTAATGTTTTCTCGCTGACAAAAATCAGTATTTCATGGTGCGCCTCATGATGGACACTCTAGGCATCACTTTAGATTGGAACTTCTATGCCTTCATTGGTGCCTGATGTTTACGTTGTAATGGAACTTAGTTTGTTAACCTGCTAGATGATGTGACAGGAAAGTAACTGTTGTTTTTTCAAGGTGTCGAATTATGCTGCTTTGCTCCTTTGGTGGCTGTTATTCTTAGCTGTGTGGCCTTGTAAAGAATGTGCAGGAGCCCAAAAAAAAAGTCCTCTTCCTTTTTTTGCTGCTGAGTGGGAGGGTGGGGGTGGGGGCTAAGCATGAATTCATTGGTTATATTTGTTTTTTGGTGCTGTAAAAGTTGTATAAGATTCTATTTGATGGTTCTTTTTTTTTTTCTGCCCTTATACAGGTAAGAATTGAAACAGATCCTGCAGACAGAACCCAGCTGCGTATGACAGTTGCCTCAGGGGACCCTACACTAACGTTTGAGTATGTCTTCAGTGTCCAACTTTATAATTTTTACTTCATTTCTACTACAAAACATCATCTGACCACTTCTGTCCAGATTGAAGGAGTTCATCAAGGAACAATTAATTAGCATTCCTACAGCTTCCCGGGCACCTTCACCAGTGTCTCTGCAAGCTCAACCAGCTGAGCCTCCACAACCTTTGCCAACCAGTTCACCAGCTGCACTATCAGATCCTGGGGCTATGCTTGCCGGTCTTCTTTGAGAAAGTGGATATGATTTATTCAAGATTTGTTCACTACAACACATGTAAACCTGATTATACAGCAATGCCCATCAATCCGTCCCTGAAAGTCAGAGGTGGGCAAGGAAAAATACAATGCCAGGGCTGGCGGGATTAGGGGTGAGTTTGCATGCGTTAGGCTTAGCATTAGAGTTTTTGGGAGTTGGTTCAGGGTTTTGAGATTCTTCTCTTACAATTACAGTGCGCAAGGGTGAGGTTCTCTTTTTTATTTTAGGGTGAGGGTCTGTTATTATTATTCTTTATTTCCCCTTCCATTCCATTTTTTTCCCTCATATCTGGCCAGGTTTCACTCGGTTTCTGTAATACCAATAGCATATGAAAAATTGCTTCAAGTGAACTGATTGTAACTAATGCATCATTTTGTTTTGGAGTCCATATGTATTTTTCATTCAGAGCAATTCCGAATGTGAAAAAAACGGTGTGGCCTTTGTATTTGTCTTTCTATTTGTGGTTTTCCTGAAAGATTGATGGGAAAAACATTTGGCTCAATTCTTGAACCCGATTACACTTATCTTTTTCTTTTGGTTGGGATCAGTGGAGAAACTTGTTTGCTTATAGTTACTTTGGAGTTTCAATTGCACAGTTTTGCAAAAACTTCACGCTTCTCAATTGATATATGGATATGATTCCATGCATGTATCTGTTTTGTTAAAATTATGTATGTACGGTTGGTATCAGTTATTGGTATTAGTGCCAAGCATCTACCGTCTCTCGGAGTTATTGGCATTAGCACTATACAGTTTTGAACGCATGGTGAAAAGCTGCAATTCGCACTTTTTGGGAATTGTCACATTTTCTCACACATTTTAGTAGTGTATTGGCAAGACTTCTCTCTCTCTCTCTCTCTCTCTCTCTTTTTCCTCTTTTAGCGATATTTCTCCATTCTTTATATGAGCCAGGCAGGACTGTCTTTTCATTATATAAATCAGATCATGGTCATAATACTTTCTTTCTTCGGTTTTAATTAGAAGGCCTAAGCCTTTTTTTGGGTAATTTACAAAAGTCCAAGCAAGGAGAGTGGAAGAATACTGTTTAAAAATTAAAATAAAAAACAATAGCAACAAATACAGTGAAATAGAACAAAGGCCAATTCGATGTGAACAGTTCTTTTTTTTTTTTTTTAAACTGATCATGTTGAGCAGTTTGTTTCCAGAAATTAACATGAACTCCAAACTAGGCTTGTCAACAGATTGAGTTTGAATTAAATTTTGTTTAATTCGAATTTGGATCCAATTTCAAAAACTTGGTCCAATAATATGACATTTATTGTATGGATCATATCCAAATTTGTTAATAATCTAAAATTCGATTCAAGTAACTTAATTAACTGTTAATTTTAACAAATTATACCTAAATTTTAACTAAATTTATTTTAAAAATCACTTAAATTTTTTAATATTTATATAAAAATATATAAATAATTCGAATCGGATTGAATATAAATATATCTAAATTCATAAAATATAAGATATCGAATTCAAATTATCACTAAAAAATATTGATCCATATTTGATTAATTACCAAAATTCAATCCATTAACTAACCTACTCCAAAAACTCTTGTGGTGGCCCTAAAACCTTTCACTTGGAGACTGAGCAAATCAATCTGAATCAAACCAGTTCTATAAATATAGATATATAATTGTCAGCATTCCCAACATCCCACCCCAAGCGCCTTCACAAAAGAAAAAAATTCAAAAACCTGTAATAGCAACTCGCACATGCACCATGTAATTGTCGAGACAACACTCGGAGGACGACCATAAAATAACTTAACAAGAAATAAAGGTTTATTTCCCTGGTCCTTCAAATCACAAGAAAAATCTAGCAATGACAACGACTTAATCTACCAAAGAACCAACCCAGTCAGAACTCAGAAAGTAATTTGCATACATAGGGTGGTTGCATTACAAAACCACTGTTGACGAGACCATTGTCCGTGCACTAGCCGAAGGCCTTATAACTAAGCACATACAAACACTACAAAACATTCAAAACTTCCGAGTCTTTTTACTGATCTCAAAAAATAGTTCTGATCAAAGTCGGATTTATACAAGCAAAAGAATCAGATAAGCAATGAAAAAAACCTGCCTATCTATCCATAAAGATCAGAGCAAATATTATGGATTCCAAAAGGATTCCACTTCCCCACTACTCATCTGGGATTCCACTTCAAGAAAAACTATTTGTGTATGTCCAGTATTTGATTAGACNAAGATCAGAGCAAATATTATGGATTCCAAAAGGATTCCACTTCCCCACTACTCATCAGGGATTCCACTTCAAGAAAAACTATTTGTGTATGTCCAGTATTTGATTAGCCGAACCATGTAATTGGATTGTCAATTTATAAACTTTAGCAATGACAAAGACTAAATCTATTAGATGAAGGTATAACTTGCCAGGAAGCAGCACCGTCTGTATGTCAGAAACATTCGCCATTAAAGCCCTTACATAGTGCTTGCTTGGTAATAAAGCTCACCATGGACCATGGCATTGGGAATATTTCTCTATTTCTCTTCCAATTTAAGCAGGCAACCAAAGGACCTGCCCATTCTGATTTTTCTTCTCAATGGTGCACAATCTGAACCCGAAAACCTCTACCATCATCAAAAAATAGGTCCAGTTCAGACCTCACAGAAAAGAGTTCACCTGTGGCAAAGAGAAACAGGAGAAACAATTAAACAACTTCAACTACTGCCAGTCCCGGCAGCTACCACATCTCCATCCACCCTCCCAGGATGACTGCTCATCCCATGGCGAACAATGCCTGTGGCAACATAACCCACAATTTTGGCAAGAAAGATCAGGGCATGGTTTGGTGAAAGAACAGAATTTACAGGGCACCATATCAACAGCAGATAGTAGGGAGATTTTAGGTTCTTGCCGACCATAGATATCAATGAGCATTCCATCCCTTGAAACTGTAGATATATTCTTCCAATCCACTGTTACATCCCCAGACGGATCAACTCCATTTGACTGACCACCATCGTCGGATGCCAGCAACTCTGTATAAGAAAAATAAGTCTGTGGTTCAAACTCCCTATCCTCATGGTCGAGACAATCATAGTCAAACATCATATTGTCTTCAAAGCCGTCCGTAGAAACATCCCATTTCACACGAGGAGATAAAGCTTCTTCTGCAGGGTTCAAGAGGTTTCGTTTAGTGGATATTTCAGCTTGAGATTCATTATTATCTAATGAAGAGTCTAAATCCTTTTTTCGCTTGACATGCCTTCTGATGGGTAGTTTCTGAGGCCCACTGCCTAAGGTATCAGCACTAATATCCACTTCTGAATTGTGCTCAACAATTGGAAGAGAAAGAAGCGGATCATCATCTGGTACATATGTGACTTCCTCTGTCATTGCTAACTCAGTAGAATTAAGTTCCTTTTGTTTAAATTGTTCAGAAATAACTGCAGAATCAACATCCACTTCTGAAACTCCTTGCTTTGGAACCCTGGTGCGTGGCTTCTTGCCCTCTAGTGACTTTTCACTATCAAGAGGTAAGTAAGGGCACCCGGGTGATTTTATCCTACGACACCTGCAACATTTGAAACCCACCACATCAAAGATTTTTGACTCTTCAAGTTCAACGGCTTCAGCATGATACCAATCTGCAAATGCCAACAAACCCAATGCATTAATGATGTTGAAAACAAATTGACAAGTAACAGAAAGAACCGAGGTGGCACTTATCATGTCTACAGGCTTACTATTGCATGTTCCACAGCGAATGTACATCAGATCAGAATTATATGGTTGCTTGCAAAGGTGGCAAACAGGTCTTGACCACTCCACGTCAGGATCGCCCTTCAAAAGAATGTTTGTCGATATGAAGTCAGTGGCAGTGGCGTCACCGTTTTTCTTCTTCCATATCAGGCCCCAAGAACGTAACTTATTTCTGCTTCTTCTTGTTGAGCTAGAATCATTAGTAGATTTCATTTCTGAGGAAAGTTCCAAAGTTCCATCAGATGCTACCAACCGACTATTACCTACTTGCCTTCCTTTGGTGACTGTCACTGCATTGCGAAATTCCTGTCCTCCCAGTAGCAAAGGACCAGTAGGAGAGTCATTACGGTTTTCAGTTTGAGGGCGAGCTTTGGTATGGTAACACTGCTTGCAGGTGATCAAAAACTCAACTTCATCATCCACAAGCACAGTTGAACTGACAGTACATTGCTCATGACAATAGCCTGACCACAAAAAGAGGCATACAAGAATCAGCAGCGCTGAACATTCAGTCATATAACTGGCTGCTCTTAAAACTTTGCTAAGGTTATGTCAGAGCATTGACATCTCCATCATTTTCATATTTATCCATCAGTATTTTTCATTATTATGAAGTTCTTACAATATTTTATACTTCAAGCCTATTACCTATTTGTTTATTTATTTTTCTTTGTCACTGTAACAGGACAGTTGACGTCACAGCTTCTCTTATGGGATAATGGCAATTCTACTCTATTTTGTCAGAATAGAAAGGCTACAATGATAGCTGATATTTTTTGGTGCCGAGTCCACAGTCAGTCCTAAGTCCAGGAGACTGCTTTTGAAGTTTACAATCAAAATTAAAAATGAAATTCCAGTCTTAAGACAGGGTAATTTTTTCATCTAAATGAGGGTATAGCCCCAGATCCAGCCAACTGGTTTTCTTCTTTATATGAGTTTTTTATTTGCTTTTTTTTTTCCCNCCCCAGATCCAGCCAACTGGTTTTCTTCTTTATATGAGTTTTTTATTTGCTTTTTTGTTTCGCTATTCTACTCCTGGGAACCCTTAAGGTTATTCATATTATTCAGTTCTAAAATTTGAAATGACCAAAAAAAAAAAAGTTCTAAAATTTGAAAAATACTGATTGCGATACTTTCTGGATAGAACAATTATATGTAAACAACAATCACTTTTGAGCAAGGAAAAAGGTTTTTTTTTGGATTGCGCGAGGAAAAAAATCTAGAAGCATAGTTAGAAAGAGACACNATTGCGATACTTTCTGGATAGAACAATTATATGTAAACAACAATCACTTTTGAGCACGGAAATAGGTTTTTTTTTGGATTGCGCGAGGAAAAAAATCTAGAAGCATAGTTAGAAAGAGACACCTGTTTTCTGAAAACTAGCCCGATGGGGAAAGAGTCTATTAGATATATAACCTAATGAAAATTCAATGAAATAAGTACACATGTCTCAACTGGACTAACTAAATGGAATGTGGGAGAGTCTATTAGATGAACTTTCGAATGCTGAACTTTATAAAAGCAGATATACAGATGATTGGATAAACGAAAACAGTTAAATGACATTGACAACTATACCTTGGCATGCTCTACACTTCATGGCATTCCTGGATGTCATAAAAGATAACGTGTTAATACAGTGCCAACAACTATAAGAGCTTATAGGAAAGGTTAAAGTAACACCAAAAATTACCCAAGTAAAACATCCAATTGGCATGAAGCACTACAGCAGTTGTCAATATTATCTCTCTTCCGGGAAAGATAAGAGAATACATCTGTACAGGAAGCCTTCAATCGCCTTCTTTGCAATTTAGACAGTGCATGCATTGTCTTATCAGCCGATGGCAAAGACATATTAACCATGTTTTCTTCATACTCTTTAATCAAGTATAGAGGAATGCGCGTTTCAAAAAACCAATATTTTTCCTGTCCATCTTGACTTTGCTCTACTTCTATGATGTTCTTCAAGACACGGGAGGGGAGGTGCTTTTGATTTCCAAAAGCAACGCCATATCTGATTTTGTTTTCCACAAATTTCCTATCACATATGCAAGCATTTCTGAAAGCAGAAGCTTCAGTCTCAGGACCTTTTCCATCCTGTAGACTTTGTTCGGGACGAACAAGGTCGCTCCATCTCAGATGAAGGTCTAGATACCTAACCTGATGCAAGAGCCAAATTTATTGTCGTCAGAAATAGCCTAACAAACATCAAGATCGTTTCCATGACACTCGCACAAAAATGATGATAAAACAATCGATGTGTGGTTGCAGTATTGTACAAATGATGATAACACACCTGAAGCGCAAGCTGTGAGGTAGTCTTACTCATTTCAACTGCAGCTCTCCAAACAAGCTGTCTGCTTCTTTTAGGAATCTCAGAACCTTCAGCATAATGAATACCAGTTATCTTTCTGCAACCACCTGATTTTAGAAAGAAAAAACAACCCATTGAACTCTTTTTTTCCATCTCTTTTACAAAATTTATGTCCCAAATATGGTAAACTGAACTTGATTCTTTCGAAAGATATAACAGTGAAAGAAATTAACTTTTCTGCCAAGCAGCAAAAGCTGGAAGTTTGAAAGTAACCTTGGCGAGCTGCTTTCTTGACAATTGAGCGCGGCAAAGTCCCTTTTTGGATTATAAGCTTCGATAGCAAACCCCCTCGCCACCAGAAGAAGTCGGTCAATTTATCCTGGCAATCATTAGCTGTCACTTCAGACGTAGCAGATGGTTTTCTGCCACGTCTCCCTGGTCCACATTTCTGAGTTGACCCAGCAGCACTTGTACTACTCTGGGTTGCAGAAGAGTCAACAGACCAATTATCGACAAGCTTTATCCAGTCAGGGGAAAGAGCAACGGTGCGAATGTTTTCCTCAAGCTGAAAATACAAAAATAAGATCACACTGACAAGAAACTAGAGCATACATGCATAAACATGGACACAAAACAGTACTATTACAGTCCAAAATAAAATGGTTTTAACTAAAAAATGTTGTATTGACATAGCAATGAATGCAGACATCACAAGACACAACTCACTTTTTCAGATAAGTTCTACATACACACTCTCAGTAACAAACACTGAAACAGACGCCCACAGGGGGCATGCTGTCCATGTCCAACCAATTGAATCCTTTACAATCATCTAAATGCAAGCAATGAAGGTCAAGCACAAACCACGACGAGGCAAAGCAAATGAAGACGAGTACAATTGAGGCAGTTGAATCTTGCTTAGAGTTCATTCGCGTCAATTGCCTAGACAATTTCACACAGTGATACTGGTCTCAGGCAAAAATCCATTCACAGAATGGCACCATCTNCAAAGCAAATGAAGACGAGTACAATTGAGGCAGTTGAATCTTGCTTAGAGTTCATTTGCGTCAATTGCCTAGACAATTTCACACAGTGATACTGGTCTCAGGCAAAAATTCATTCACAGAATGGCACCATTTTCTTCTTTATCTCTTCTTTCTCTTACTCTTTCCTTAAGCTTTGTTGATTTAGATGAACATAAAAAAGGTAATAGAGGTTTTATCCAGCTGTTTTCTATGTAGGTCTTGCTTTTGATACTTTCTTATTCTTTTTGCCATTCTATTACTAGTATCTGCTGGTACGCAGATACACGAGCATACCCACCTTCCAATTGCAGAATAAACACAAATAAAAGAATGATTCAGAAAGTAATCTCATGGGAATTCCCTGCAGTTAATCAGTAGCCAACCCTAAAGTAGATTAGCTACCAAAAATGCTGCCATACTTAAGTTATTTAGCCATATACGCACTTTACAAAAAAATGGCATTGAAGAGAACCCAACTAGAAAAAGAAAAAAGAAGGGAAAAATCAAGTGTGGTAAAGATAACTCCTCACGGTTTTTAGACTTTAAGGGCAACAGGTGGGAAGCCTGTGTGGCCCAATATATAACCAAAGACAGAAAATGCATATAGTATAAATTGATACAGTAGAGAAAACAACACTTATTGTTGGAGTGGGAATAGAAAATAACAAGTTGGCACTAACGCCATCCAGAAGGCTCATTTGATTACTCATTTTAACAATAAACACAAGCAAACTGATTTCATTCAGGGACGGGTTATAGATAAAAATGTGGGTGTGAGTGTGAATCTGTCTTTTTTTTTTTGTCAGGGGTGGGGAGAGAGAAGGTCAGGGAGAAGAGAAGAGAGAGAGCAACAAATAAAGCAATGACAAATGAAAAACTCATATGTAGTACCAGAAGAGTTTGGCAAAGAAATAAGAAGGGTAATTTGCTATGACACCATCAAACATTTTCAAACCCTCCAACATAATATTCGAACTACCGCAAAAAAAGTGCTCTCAACATATGGCTTTAGATGAAATCAGAAATGACAAAGAATATAACATCCAAACTATGGTTGCCAGCACCCCCCTCCCCGAAAAAAAAAAAAGAAAGAGAATTTCAAAAAATGGTTTCCAAAAAATTTCCATAAATACCTCCCCATGTGTTCACAATAGGTATTGAGAACAATCTCTCCCCCCCCCCCCCCCCCCCCCCCCCCCCCACACCACCCCCCCCCCCCCCCCCCCCCCCCCCCCCCCCCCCCCCCCCCCCCCCCCCCCCCCCCCCCCCCCCNCCCCCCCCCCCCCCCCCTGATCCAACCAATTAGGCAACTCTCACCACAAAACTGAACATCTCTATTTGACAATGACCGGATCACCAAATAAGACCAAAAGGGAGCTAACCATCATAAGAACTACAAAATAACTCTCCAACCTTGTGGCAGTAATTGGACATATATTCAACCATTAAAAGTATTGCCAGGAAATAATAACTGAGTGAAGTTTCCGATTATTAATTCAAGGAAGAGAAAAATGTGGACCCACTATGAAGTACGAACACTTGTCTAAAATGCCATAACCCAATGTTTCTTTTGCACCCAGACTGCTGGGAGAGGTAGACTATACAGACCTGATCTTCAGTAACTTAATTGCACACGGTGGATCCTCTCAAACAAAGTCCACTTAAGCTTAACAACCCGAGCATATTATAACTGCATCAAGCAATGACCTCTATCACTAAAAATATCTAAACCTGCGAATTCGTTAAAAAATATAAATTCCACTCACATATTTATGTGTTCCTTTTTCCTAACAATAGTTCGCATGTGATTTACAATAAGACGGAAATAACTAAGAATATCTAATGTTCAATTGTAAAACCAACAAGCCGATGGAATGCAAGCTATGGATCTCATAACTGTCAATATATGTGAATCTGCCCGGCATAACAAGATTCCAACTAAAGAAACAAAAATCACACCGACTTGATATGAAGCAAGCATTTTAGTCAGTCCAGAAAAAAAGTTAATAATCCTTCAAAGAAAGGTGTTACCACAAGCCAATTGAGATCAGCATCATGTATTTGAGCTAAGAATTCCAGAATACTTACTCCAAGCAAAAGAATTTTTATGGAACCAAAAGCTCCAGCCTGTTCAACTTGTTTACGCCATTGTTTTCTATAAGGTGCACTTAGGAAGGGGCCAAGTGTTAGGCCATGTAAACTCTCCTCCATTAACATCACATAGGCTGCAATCCCAGAAAGACTTCCAACTAAATTCTTTGCTGGACGAAGACCAGCTAATACCTTCATAGCCCCTTTGATGGCAGTTGAGGCAGCTGCATTTAAAAAGCATCCCCTCTTGCTTGTAACGGAAGCCTTGCAAGAAAAACACCAACCACACCTTTCCCTGGGGACTTCCACAAGCTTCTTTTCAGTATTTGGCCAGAAAAAGCGTATTGCTGCTGATGAAAATGCTTTTACTTGGAGTGAAACATTAGCAGATATAATTTTCTTCCGATTGTCTGGATCATGAGACTCAGAAATCTGGTTTTCCTCAGATGAAAGAACCGCAAGATTAGCAGCGGCAGACGCAGCAAAATCTCCTTGAACATAGCTATTTATGTATGACTGGGATTTGAAAGATGACCCCATATATAAGCAATCACCAGATGAAATACTGCATTCTCTTCCACCAAGTCTATCAACAGCTGCTTCACGNTTTTCCTCAGATGAAAGAACCGCAAGATTAGCAGCGGCAGACGCAGCAAAATCTCCATGAACATAGCTATTTATGTATGACTGGGATTTGAAAGATGACCCCATATATAAGCAATCACCAGCTGAATTACTGCATTCTCTTCCACCAAGTCTATCAACAGCTGCTTCATGCTGAGAGGACATTTTTGCAGTAAGACCCATACCATTCACATGCCCCCTATAACTGCTGTTGCTCTTTGAAGAACAAGTAGCATTTTCTATCAAACTTGACTTTTCAGACAAACTTTGTTGGATAAAGTATGATCGATCAGCAAGCTGGCTAACTGAACCAGTAGACATTGTATATTCGACTTTGGTCTGGTCTAGAAGGCTAGTATCCATAGAAGGACAATCCTGTTTTGCGGAGGTGTCACCATTTCTCTGCTGAACAGAGTGGTCAGGATGTGTCATTGTACCCAACGAAAACTTGTCCATCGCGTGTACTTTAAGATCATTATCAAGACATGATAATGCCAAGTTACCCAAACTACTTTCAGTTATGCAACTTGCCATGTGCTCACCCTCAACCATTCCGGAGACATTATTACTTTCCTTACCCAATAGAGTAATTGATGGATTATAACACTCTAGACCTTCTTTTCTGTTTGCTAAATGTGTACCTATTTCAGTTGTTTCACTAAGAGTAAAGATATGTTCTGGAATTTCCCAATACTGTAAAATTCCCATGCATATCTCTGAGTACATAGCAATGTGTGGCACAGATGAATAGAGTGCTGACAGGACACTTGGAATGTCATTCTGTTTGTAATATTTGCAACAGGGCTCCATGTCGAGCGAATCCTTTAGCCTGCAATCGTTTATTACAATGAAGGATCACAGAGCATTTCAAAACAAGAACACAGTTTAAAAATACATCAAAGCAGGAAGAAAAGACATTTAGGCTAACAAAGATGGAAGTAAGGCCCACAAATAAAGTGATCCTACAACCAATGGAGCAGATCATTACACATTCAACCGAGTAAGGACACAGAAAACTTCTAGAAATAGGGATCAGAAACATACACCAATAAATGATTGCAAGTACCCAAAAAGACTTGTCCATATGAATCTACGCCAAATATTTCTGCTCCTCTTAAATAAGTTCCTCTTGTAATTGCTGGTCCAATCCTATTACTTGCACATTCTGGACAATACCATGCCCCCTCTGGTATGAACATTTTCATCACACCTATGCATCTTGAATGATAAGCAGATGGACAACCATCGCAACAAAGCAAGGTCCCATCCATACCGCAAAGCCGGCATTCATCATTGTTACCATCCAGACTAACATCAGAACCAGCATCCATTCCACTAGCTTTAAAACCCAAATTACTGGGCTTAGACTTTATCTCATGATTCTCTGTTATAATCTCCATGGCTTCTTGATCCTGGCAAGCAGAGGTTTTCGGGTATCTAGGATGGATCCTTTTCGGTCCACTTTCAGGACCAACGACTGTAACTGAATCAGGATCTAGCCCTGCTTCTGATTCTTCTCGCATGTTGATCTCTGCTCTTAGCTCTTCAGAATCTAAAACATCATCACACAAGATCTGCAAAATTAACAACTTCCTGCCCGCAGATACTGTGTAATAATCATTCTCTAAAGCCTCGATATAAAATTCTTGCCACTCAAGTCTCTCTGTGTATCCCATCATCAATAGATACTGGACCAAGTAAACTGGCCAAGTCAATATATCAAGCAAGCACCAATCCATGCACCTGTGAGCAGGAGTATCATTCGATCAACGACAAATGACAAATTCATCTTACACAAAATTATAAGCCAATTAAGAGTAGAAAAGTGAACAACGATTCCTGCTGTGGCCATTCCTGGTGAGGCATGATTGCCATAACACTGCACCAATATCATTTGCAGCTGAATGATTAAATTTAGTCAAAACTAAAGGGCATCTCATATCTTAACAAAAGGAAAATGCTACATGGTCATCAGCCACCAAAACAACATACTAGGCTTAGTAGCTGCTCTAGCTAAAACATAAGTGCAATATTTAAACCGAACAAATAATATGGTCAAAGAAAGAGGCGAATAGAAGTACCTTAGGCATTTTGATGTGAGCTTGGAACCATCAGATGAAAGTGTTTCAAAATGACGCCTCAACACGCACATGAGAGCAACATGAATAGAATCCAGCAAGGTGTTTGGTTCGGAACAGTTTACAGAACCCACAAAATCATCCAGTCCAAAGGGGCTCAAAAACAAACGGGTACTAAATGAGCGCAAGAAACCATATATAGAGAAAACGTACGAAACATATCCCTCCGGAACACCAATATTCCCTGAAGAAGGAGGCAATTGTGGTGGTGGGTAAAGGGGGGCTTCTGCATCCACACTTGAATCCTGAGCATACTCACACGAATCAGTGGATGAATCAGCATCAACCTCCTCAACTTGAACTTCATCAACGCCAGTATCACAACCAGGATTAGTTAACTGACTCAACAAAGACCCTTCAACCCTAACAACATTCACAGATTCGATCACATTCTCTACCGGTTTCTCATTTACTTTTGATTCTTTCTTCGATACTAATTGGTCTAATTTATTTTTTCTTTCCAACCACCCAACGTTAAAATCAATATCCTCGATAAGGATCTCCCTCACTTCGCCGCTTTCTAAATCCTCACAATCCCCATCTTCGTAATCAACCCTATACAATCCGGTATCATAACAGGTAACCTTACCAAGAAAAACCCCATTGTTCGCAAATTCTTTCTTCACATATCTCCCAACCAAGGCCTTCGACCTCATGTCCACTGCCCTTTTCTTCCCTTGTCGATCCACAGAAACATTCTGCACATCCTGGTTCTTCCGTTTTCTCCCTCGACGTTCCGATCTAATAACTACAGTTTCCATTTGCCAACCGGATGAATCCAGTCCTAAGTCAATTCACGCTTCACCGATATTTAGCGTTTCAAAAGGATCTAACTTCACACCAATCCAATATACACTTTTTGATCAGACCTAGTTCAGCAAATTGATCCAAATTTGAGGGTTTTATCACATTTCAAGGAAAATAAGTACAAAATGAAAAATTAACAAAAAAACAAACATCACAAAATAAGTATGAACTAGGATATTGTGAATGTTCGCGTCATCTATTAGATTTCAATTTTACAGGTCCTTCAGAGACGGAAATTATGGCGTACGTGATCGGAAGATATATGAATCCTACCTGGTTAGGTATGATAGACCGCCATTGATGAAGTATCTGGAGCTTCTGGTATAGAGAGAGAGAGGGGGGGGGGGGGGGGGGGGGGGGGGGGGGCGAGGGGGAGAGGAGGCCAGTGGTGTGGTAATAGCCCTAACCTAAGCAAAAGCCACACCACACTCTTGTACGAGTTGCACGAGCGAGCCCTTGTTTTTTTGTGATTCGTTTGACTCGGAACTCGGAAATCGGCCGAGTCTTAGGAGTGGGTTTTTTTTTTTTTCGCGTGCGTTACCTTTTAGAACTTTAATTACAAAATCCACACTTAGTTTGAAATTCTAATACATTGTAGTCCGTATATTGATAATAAATTTTATTTAATGTTTTAACTCAAAACTAATTCAATGACCACAGTATAGCTTAAATTAAGTCTTTAAATTATTTAAAATCATCGAAACTAATTTTGTGATATTGTCATAATATATTTCACAGAGTGATACGATATTGGAATTCTTTTTTCAATGTAATTTTAAATTAAAAATATTACAATAGAAAGTGAAAACAATTGTGCAATAATTTCTTCCATCTTTTTTGTATAAGATCAATAATAAGTTATACGGTTAGAGAAGTTTTCAACAATTTACAAATCAATCCGGCCTTGGTGTTTAGTTGACAATTTTGTTTAACCATGCAAGTTAAGTTTTTAATGAATATTGGCAGTTAGTTGATAGGCTGTGTAGATTTAAAAAAAAGAAAGAATTATATAAATTTATAGAACTGCACCTTAGACATATTTAAACATTATCTTATCATTCTACATTTATGTATAAGTATAAACTCGTTACTCAAACTATATGAGATTTACTTAGTATTCTCGAAATATACAAAGATTGTAATTGAACGTTTATAAGATATATTAATATTTTTATTAGAGTATTCGTATACTTACTTGACTACTCCCCTTCAGGTGGGGTAAAACAATCTTCCGGCTATGAAATAAAAGTTGATAATGAGAATAAATTTAAGTTGATAGCTTATGTCAATANATAAGATATATTAATATTTTTATTAGAGTATTCGTATACTTACTTGACTACTCCCCTTCAAGTGGGGTAAAACAATCTTCCAGCTATGAAATAAAAGTTGATAATGAGAATAAATTTAAGTTGATAGCTTATGTCAATAAATTAAAAAATGTAATTATCAAACTTTTCACTTAATAAAACTTTAGTAAGTAGATTGAGAGTTCTTATTTTACCATCCAATACTAACGAATCTCTTTTGGTCTCTCTCCCTTTTCTCACTTTACACCTATCTCAAGAAGAATTATATATATATATATATTCTAATTTCAGCCACAAATGTGCATTGGGCTGGTAATTGTAATATGCGGATTTATGTAAGAATATCACGATTAACTCGGTGGGTTGAGTCAACTCGGACCATTCTAACAAATATAACGCTTTGGTTCTATAAACTTAGTTGAAAAATGGGAAGAATTGGCGGGAGGTGCTTCAACGATTTGTCATTACGTTTAACCGCCAACATCTTTGTAGTTCAAATATGGAATCAAACTTTTTTTTATTTAGCAACGTTCACGTTGCCTTAATTTATATTTAGGGGCAAAATCGGGATTTCCATAATTTTATATCCTAACTTTATGATACAATACAAAACTACAGAAAATATATGCTAAGTTTTGTATTTTTTTTTTTTTGGAGAATTGAATTTAAATAAACATTAGCAATAGAGTTTGACGATATCAAAAGAAAAAAGTTAGTTTGGATGATAAACTAATGAAGTGAGCAATAAAACTATAAAATTTGACCATCAATGATAAAAGTATTAGAATGAGTAAAAGAGGACTTTCATCTAAAAATCCTAGCTTGGGCAAGTGCCGATTGCTTTTAGAATATCACATCACACAAGAAAAGAAAAAAAAAAAAAAATCCAACAATCAAATATTTTTTGACATTTCTATTATAAATACAATGATTTCAGAGTATATAAAAGATAAGCATATACATTACCCTAAAAGAAGAAGAAGTTGGTGTATTCATCTCCTATCTCAAATAATACATAGCCGAATGAGCAAGAGCCTCCACCAACAATAGACTAACACTACTCTTGAGCAAGGCGAACCATTTAAACTTGGACTTCTACCACACCCACTTAACACCCCATTCTCAGTTTATAACACCATCAAAACCTATAGTACCGGTCAATGGTCTTTTTCTCTCTTTATCGTATTTGATTATTGAAAGTAAATACATTCTGATCTATTTTTCATAAATTTTACTTAATGATAGATCATCGACTATATAGTCTATATTATGTGGAAGACCCACTAATAATTCACCATATTGAATATACTATTGAGAATATTAATCTAGAATGAGAATATTAATTATCAAAATGATTGAATTAGAATTAACCTTCTATTTGAAATAATACAATACTTAACCTCAGATGTTACAAAAGATGCCCTAATATTAGGGATTAATTCCCCTATCCGCCCCAAACTGTTCACCATGTTTTCACATCTTAGTGAGAAAATTGTGTTTTCATTTTAACTCGAGTGCATCCTAGACCATTATGTTTTTTGCATAAGTTGTAAGTGTCAACTATAAAGAAGACTTTTTGTTGTTGTTGATGTCGTCCTTTTTCTTTATAAATTTTCAAAAAAGGATCGAACCCTCTTTGTGTTCTAGTTGGGTACAGTGTATGTTGACACAAGTGAGGAGCACTCCAAAATCTCTTTTCCAAGCCTATTTCTTTGATTTTTCTTCATTAATTGATTGCTCGTGTCTATGCTACGACAATTTTGAAACGGATAAAATTGTGCTGTTCAAATTTGTTTATAAAATCTTGTATTTTAAATAATGTGTCAAAATTTTATACATTGAATTTTGGTAGAGTTAATGGACCCCACTGATCCAACCATCCACACTACTTTGAGATACAAAATTTGATAAATGATTTGATAAGGATAACATTACTCTTTTAAAACTCCAAGTCCATGTCCTTGAGTATGTTGATTATGTGATCATGGTTTGTGAATCATGAGCTCAAACTTAAATGCGCCAAAAACTTCAATGCATGAACTGACCGAGACACACCCTAGGTCGATATAGAAATGTTGGTTAGATGCTTCTCTGTGTCCAAGTCTCACAAGGCTCGTGGTATATTAAATAGGATTTGGTTGACACCTTTAGTATGTTTGACCTATTTAATATTTTGTTAGGACCTAAAATATAAAATTTTAGGAATATTTAGTACATTGACCCTTGACATCCCAAGATTTTATGAGCAAGTGCCACATGGCAAAATTTTAAAAAAGACAAAATGATTAGTTGAAGTCAGGTTTGAAAAGACGAGAGTAACCCACTGAGAGTTACCATTAGGTAGCTGCCAATAAGAGTAATACCTTCAAAAAAGATGACTATGAAACTACATTCAATGAAAAAAGAATCCACGATCATGACATCATTAGGAGTAGTTTTTAGAGCAGTTAGTGTTGTGCAACGTTATGGTTGACATCCTAGTATTTAGGTTTGAGTTGAATAAGAAGATTATCACCCTTAAGGATATAATTGGTTAGGATTTCTATTATCTCTAAATATTAGTTGTCTATGGGGATAGGCATGTTATCCCAGTAGATTAGGATTTGTTATTGTCTTGAATATTTGCTATTCTCTTGAATTGCCTTGTAAAACTCTATTTAAAGAGCAAGGATTATGAATAAAGATTATCAATCAATTATTTACCTTCAACGACAATTGATTTAGGAGTCTAGAGAAACTCGAATTCTCTACCCAATGAGGTCCAGAACCCCTCAAAGTGTTCTAGGAAATTCATTGTCACTCAAAATAGGCAAATCACGTAAGAAAGACCTTAGTTTTCTTCCCGTGCATAGGCATGTTACGCGTGCGATTTCTGAGCAATGTAACATATAAGGGAATGTTCATTCAGTCTCTTATAACCAAAGTCTCATTTATTAGTTCTCTGTTTTAACTTTGCCTTCATCTAGTAAAAATCACAATATTCTCATCTAAGAAAGTCCTGAAATAAGACATTAAATTCATTTCAAAATTATCTGTCGATTGAGACATTTTCGTCGATCCCAATAAATTTTGGAGCAACACATTTATACATTGATTGTAGAAAATAATATTTGTTCATTGATAACTTGACCAAATCAGAAGATATTTTATTTACTAGACTTTGTACCTCGTCCTTCATTGTCCATCTTTATTGGAAATTGCATGTGGTTTGGAAGAAGATCGGAGAAACTAAGAAAATATGAAATTTACAAATAGTGAATCATTTGTTTTGATCCGAAAAATTGCACCAATGGAATGTAAGATAATTTGACAATTATCGGTAAGTTCCTGTAAGGAAATCGAAGATCGAAGGGATTTCGGTGTCGATCCTCCAATGATTAAGTCAGTAAAAGTGTGGTGAATTGAATGATATTTAGCTGGGATGAATCACTGTCTTAGTTCATGGCTAACTCATCCTCTTTATAGGCTAAGCCAATTGTACCATTGAAGTCCGTTAGCTACTATTTGAATGAGGCAGCAAGGAAAGTGGAACATTCTACAAGAGTATTGCAACTGGTTTGTGCCATTCCCATGAGATTTACATTAGTATATTAATTAGTAATGTACCATGAGAATGCGCATGTGTTGTAAAGTTAACGTCCATTAGTATATTAATTAGTAAATTACATCCAAACCTTTAAAATTGGAAGCTTATAATACTTAGTTCCTTCAAATTTAAAATATTATACTTAGACAAAAAATACTTCAATTAAAGATAAAATATCAAATATTTTAAATTTTACAATCAAAATTTATGTTCTATTGTGTCATTTATTAAAATAAAATCACAAATAAAAATCTATTTTTAAAATAAAAATAAAAATTAATACTATTGATTCCAAAATTTAGATGACCTCCATTCCAATTTGTTGGACTTTGATCACCTAAAAAAAAGTTGGAAACCAGAGGGGAGCTCCGGGGTCAACTCTCTGATGCCTAAGTCAATGAGTGATTCAAAAGTATGAACTTCATTTACAAGCTA